GAGCCCGTGCCTGCTTCTACAGTGCGTGGCGCTTGCGAATGCGCTCATCAAGCGTTGAACGATTCCGTTTGACACGGATCCATTCACTCGTTGGTGGCTTGGGGGAGCTGCCATTCATCGTTTGTTGAGGCTGTTTGCCTCTCCTGTTCTTCAGATCCGCGTTATAGCAGACTCCGTCAGTAGACTCTATCGCCTTTGCGAGTGGCCGCGCCACATCGGCGAGAACAGGGTTGACCTGGTTGGAGGTCGGTGGAACTTCACCCGATGCAACTTTGGCGTCAGTTGGGGTGAGAGCTTCGTTGGCATTTTGTACTTCTTTGTACCAACGAACTTTTCTCCTGGAGGAGAACTTCTTGGACTTGCGGGGGGAGGTGGATACGCAACTTTGGCGTCAGCTGGGGTGAGAGCTTCGTTGGCGTTCTGAACTTCTTCAAACTAACGAACTTTTCTCCTGGAGGAGAACTTCTTGGACTTGCGGGGGGAGGAGGATCCGGACGAGGATGACAGATACTCCTCGAACTTTTGCTGGTCGAATTCATACTCGACCTCCTCCTCGACCGGGATTGAGATCCGCGGCTGCGACGTGACGATCTCGGCAGCGAGATCGGTGGCTCCCACTGTGGTCGCCAGATTATTCGCGGGAAAAATCGTAGCTTTCATTAAAGTCATTGTACACTCTTTAGTAATTGTTTATCGATTACAAAGATCCGGTCTTTTTATAAGATCCGGTCTTTTTATAAGATCCGGTTACAACTAGATCAAAAGAAAAAAAGAAAAAGTTACAACTTTCCTTATTTGTCGAACGAATCACGAGCTCCTGTTTTGCGGTCACTCGCTTTTGTGGGTTCTTCGCCTGCGTCGGGGTTAATCCGTGGACCACCGCGCGATCTAGATCCGGTTGGATCTACACGTTATAGCGGGTGTTATCTCACGAAGGAAATAACAGCCGGGGGGTACTATTTCACCAAGAAAATAATAGCCTTCTCGGGATCAAAGGCCAAGCTTTGATCCGGAGAATAATCGTGTAGATCTCAGATCCGATCCCTCTCGAACTCCTGCCTTATTTGACGTGGACGATCGCAGAGAACCGGATCTGAAAGAGCAAGTCTTCAAAGCTTCAAATCTCCAAGGTTCAGATCTCCTTTCAGCAGAGCTTCACCTTCAAAAATTCCCACCTTTGACAAATGAGCCATAGGGGTCTATTTATAGGCAATTAAAAGCGGGTCTGGGCTCAGATCTGGGCCCAGATCCGCGCGTCGGAAGGAGGGGGGTGTCACGGTTTATTGGTTTATCCGAGCTTCGCCGTTGATCTGAACTCTGATTTGGTAGTAAATCCGCTTCGGTGATTGAGTTCAAATCCGTTCTACAGTTGGATGACTCGTTGACTCACCGAACCGTTAGCTTGATTCCGCACACGAATGGATGCATTCAATTGCTTGCGTGCAATTCGTTAGCCTCATCGCCTCGTTAATCCGCTTCGTTGCGTGTCACTTGGCTTCGATGTTGTGGACTAACGCTCGTGTTTAGATACGTCACCCGATGGTTCGTTGGTTTGTCGAATCACCGTGCCGAGTTGTGTTAAGGGACCCATAGGCAGTTTTATATGCCTACAACATCGTGTATGCTCGACATCGAGAACAGACCAATGTACCTCGGGGCAAGCTTTCCTAATCTACCAAAACATTGTACACCCTTCATTGGTGATACTTTTAACAAAATATAATTCCCAACCTGGAATTCTAATGGTTGTCGCCTCCAGTCTGTATAACTTTTCTGATGACTTTCCGCTGCAATAATACGCTCTCGAATGACTGCTACCTTTTTTGTAGTCTGTCTAATAAGCTCTGGTCCAAGCAATAGACTGTCTTCTGATTCTGCCCAACAAATAGGTGATCTGCGAGGACTCCCATATAATGCTTAATACGATGCCATGCCAATAGTCACTTGATAGCTATTATTATAGGCAAACTCAATCAATGGGATGTGGTCCTCCCAACTACCCTGAAAATCAATAACGAACATCCTCAACATATCCTCCAATATCTGGTTCACTCTCTCCGTCGTCCATTTGTCTACGGGTGAAATACATTAGAGTAAGATAACTGGCTATCGAAAGAGTTCTGGAAGCTTGTCCAAAAATGTGCTGACTTCGTCAACCAATCCATTATTACCCAAACTAAATCGTTCCCCTTCTTTGATCTCGACAATCCTACAATAAAGTCCATAAAAGTATCTGCCCATTTCCTCTCTGGAATAGGTAAAGGTTGTAGGATTCCTACTGGCCTCTGATGTTCTGCCTTCACTTGCTGGCAGGTGAAACACTTACCACATACTCTGCAATCTCACCATATATGCCACTCCACCAAAAGTATCTATTCAGGTCCTTGTACATTTTCGTTGTGCTTGGATGCACTATGTACCTAGTACGATGCGCCTCATTGTAAGTGGTGTGGCTATCTTTCAGAAGTTTTGAATGAACTTTCTGTAATAGCTGGCCAAACCCAAAAAGCTACGAATCTCTGTGACTGTCGGCGGCGGTTCCTAATAAAGTACGGTCATAACCCTAGCTGGATTCACTACAATGCCCTCTCAACCGATAACGTGGCTCGAAAATCTAACCTCAGATAGCCAAAACTCGCACTTACAAAATTTGGCATATAGCCGATGCACCCGCAAAATCTGTAATGCTAGTCGAAGATGCTGCTCGTGCTCTGCCTTCAATCTTGAATATATAAGGATGTTGTTGATAAATACTATCACAATTTGGTCCAAATATGGATGGAAAACCCGGTTCATCAAGTGCATAAATACCGCGGGTGTATTGGTCAGCCCAAACGGCATGATAAGAAACTCGAAGGACCCATAACGAGTCAAGAAGGAGGCCTTAGGAATATCTATCTCCCGAACCTGCAACTGATGATAGCCAGAACGAAGATCAATCTTTAAGAAGTGTTGCTCTCCCTACAGCTGGTCGAACAAGTCATCAATCCTCAGTAATGGATACCTGTTCTGGATAGTGATCTTGTTTAACTCCCGATAATCTATATAAAGACGCATACTGTCGTCCTTCTTCTTTACGAAAAGGACTAAAGCTACCCATAGAGAATAACTCCGGCGAATAAAACCCTGAGACAATATCTCGTGTAGCTGAGTCTGTAGCTCCCTCATCTTAGCAGATGTTATACGATAGGGAGCTCGAGATATCATTGATGTGCCAGGCTGCAACTCGATGCAGAACTCAACCTATCACATAAGAGGTAACCTCGGTATGTCCTAAAAGACATCCTGAAAATCCGAGACGACTCTAGTCTCACACAACTCAGTATTCCAATCTCTTAGCATCACCTCCTCAATATATGCTAAAAATAACTTCGCAAACTGGTTACCCTGTGAGGTCGCTACAATCAACTCAGACCCATCGGACGCTCGCAAACTGACTGTTTTTGCAAAACAATCGATGCTAACATGGTAGGATGATAACCAATCCATACCAAGAATGATGTTGAAATTCGACATCCACAAAACGATTAGACTACAATAAATTCAGACTCATCTAAGCTGATGAGACATCTCCTACAGACGCTCCCAAATAGAGATACCTCTCCTAAAGGAGTAGAAACGGATAGCGGTACACCTAAGGGATGTGAGACTAACTAAAGCATATTCGTAAAGACATAAGATATAAAAGAATGGGAAGCTCTGGAATCGAACAGGATCCAAGCTGGAAAAGAGTTCACTAAGAAAGTACCTTCTACTATAGCTCTGCTCGCACCGTGATCATGTGGTACGATTGCATAGACTCTACCTATGGCTGGCGACTGCTGAACTACTGGCGGTGGAAATACGAGACTATCTATCACTCAAGAATCTCTTGAATGACATGAATTTGGTCTACTGGCCCTTCAATTCTCAAAACGGTTAGCGGTGTCTCAATCATCTGCTACTGGCCGTAACAGCGACCCTACGACTGCTAACCCTAACCACTATTCTACTGCTGACCACGTCCTAGTCTCTGCTGCTGGTGTTGAAAATTCTTGTCCCGATGTTAGGGTCTTCTAAGTCTTACAAAAGGTTTCTTATCCTTGCCCTTGTCTCCAGACAGTCTTACTTCCATAATTAACTATCGGTATGTCTCCCTGCTCCAATCGGGCTAATTCTAGCTGCTTATCGTAGTAGTAGGTAAAGTCCTCCTATGAACTTGACATTCATTGTTTCGGCGTAAACTGAAGTCGGTGCTATCATTTGATGATTTCCTCTATGCTAAATACATCTAACTTCTATTTTGGTACTGAGTCGATGTTAAGAAATTTTCACATATTCCTTCCATTTATAGGCTACACATGTGTGCCCTGAAACTATGGTGCTCTCAGTGTCTAATATTTTTCCTATTTTTACAGAGTCAATCCTTCTGCTCTGCGGCTCTATCAATAGTTGGTTGTGGCAATGGTGAAATTGTTGGTATTACCTCTCCAATAGGTACGGTTGATACAACTGATGGTGGAACTACAAAAAGTGAAATCTGGCTCGTTACTCGCTCCTAGAGTGTGAGTCTCTGCTTCTGTAATCAGCTTACCAAGTCGATCAGATACTGTGGAGCCTACTGCAGCTCAGGCTCTGCTTACCCAGTTCCCAAGGTATAAGTTTTACCTCGACCACATCCTCGTCTTGATATTTATAATATCAAGAGGAGAGCTTAATTGGCATAGTAAATGAGGTCGCAAACACACACACACACACGCGCGCGCACACACACACACACACATACACACACACACACACACACACACACATATATATATATAACATATCATAATAAGTATTCACGCAAATACTTTTCAATCAAAGTAAGATAGTCATAAAAAAATTCATAATTTTCGAACATACGTGTATAACATCCTCACTCTTTCTAAGAATTCCTAGCGGACTCTATACATGAATCCTAAAAAACTCTATTCTAGCTCCACTACTTGACACAGGATGATTCTAAGGATATTGGAACTAGAGCTCTAATATCAACTGTGACGCCCCTGTTTTCACACATGGCTGCAGCCCAAGATGAACCCAGATATGTCAAACCTGCCATGCACCCACACTGTGTAACAACAAGTTTTACCAATCAGAGCAATATCCTCTAGTGGAATCAAAATAAAGTGCAGGTACAAAACAGGTAAAAGAAAGGAAATAACTACAATAGACATGATATAGAAAGAAGTATCTCATAAACAAATCATGTCTCAATGAACAATCTGGAATACATCTGATATCCAAAATGAATAAATATGTCTCGACAAGAAATAGCTAAAAATCGTACTAAGGCACACTGCCTTTACACTATGAAATAAACTCTAAGATCTGAACAAAAATATAAAACTCTAAGATTTGAACCCTATAGGAAATTGCTTTTTCTTTAGATGTGGAACTAATACTTGTAGGAACTCTAGAAATAAGGAAACCTTCATGTATATACCATATGTCTCAAATTATGAATCACTAATTATTGATCCCAACTAAGAAAATAAAGAAAACTAGTAAAAGAAAGTAAAGACATCAACATATCGTATTCATGATATCTTCCACTATCACTGGGAAGATAGAATGAATACCGGCACAAATCATGTGTACTTTCAAATGCAAAGTACTCTGGGTCATATATTTTAGCAGTGAGTGAAAAATATAACTAGCATCTGCCAATGACTCACGCTATCATTTAACTATCTCAATGCAACCCTGTACAAGATTTTGATACTTAGTATTATCATGTGTAACAAACTACCCTGTAGGTAATCTAATCAGTGTACACGGCTCATTAGTCTCACGCGATTTCAGTACGTAATATGAGCGCGGAACGACCTACCATATAGGTATCCTAGAAGTACGACTCACAAGCCTCATCGCACACTCGTGCGGATGGACTTCTAGATAAAGCATCCAAACCCGACTCAATGGCCTGTACAAATAGAATATTGATGCACTACCCCCGTAGTACTGAACTAAGCTCATCAACAATATCCAGAAGGTGTGTATAATATGTACTAAACTCTTTCTCAAAGTAATCGGGTCAAAACCTATCATAATTCATTTTAGCATACTCATGTGTGTGCTACTACACTATTCGTGAATTTATGTATAAAGAAGTGCGACTAGAAACCCGCAAACATATCTCAAACAGATGCAAAATAAAAATTCAGGCAACATCCTTAGTAGTCGACTACTAGGCTTAGTAGTCGACTACACGGAGTCCATCCAAACTTTTAAATAATATATATCAGTATCAGTAGTCGACTATTAAGAACAATAGTCGACTACTCTACAAACACACAATTTTTATTATACTCAAGTAGGCAAGAGTAGCCGACTACTAAGCTTAGTAGTCGACTACTCTGTCAAGACACGCATTCTTTCGTGCACAAACAGTACTTATGTCAATTGTACATATCATGACATTAAAATGAGATTTTATATTTATCATACATAACAAGAATTATCTGAATCATCAAATTAAATTATTATATCTTTCAAATTAGGGTTTAACATCCGAATTAAATAATTTCTTCAATTATCTCATATATAAACAAAGTGATTATCAACACATGATAAAAACTACTCATGGACAGAGGTAAAATTCATTTAAACATATTTATTTTACTTAGATATCTTAAACCTAGGGTTTAAGCATGATTAATTAACATGAAAACTCAAAAAAACCTTCACGTAATATATCAATTATTTCAAATCAGCATATCTGTAGTTTTCTGCAGAACATATCATTAGTAAATTGAGCATATCTTTCTCTAGACAAACTCATTTTAAGAATAGTTTTCTGTTTTGGAAACTAGATCCATATAGCTATCATTTGAAACTAGTTTGGTTCAGTTTGGAGTTTATATGATATCTCAAATTTCTGGTTAAAGTTTACACACGTGCAGCAGTTTCAGCAGAATATATCATTAGTAAATTGAGTATATCTTTCTCTATAAAAACTCTTTCTTAGAATGATTTTCCATTTTATAAAACAAGTTCATATAGCTTTCATTTGACACTAGTTTTGTTTAGTTTGGAGTTTATATGATATCTCAAATTTTTAGTTAAATGTTATACACGTGTAGTAATTTTCTACAATCTATGATGAAAACAAAAACTAAACCTCTTTATAATTCAATTAGATAACAAATTAGGGTTAACACACAAGTTAAACATAATTATCAAGTTTTTTAAAAAATGAAAATTTAATCACGCCTAATGATCATGATCACGTTATTATCATAAACAATTAGGAAAAGTTAATGATCTAGCATTGGGTTAAGATTTATCATCAAAAATCTCATCTTTTTCATATTTGGTTAAGCCTTAAGCATGAAAACATTGATTAAATACTTTTATAATCATTAAACACTGTGGGGATGGGTTTGGATGCAGATGATCTTGCCTTATCACGTGTGCAAGCCTCTGAAACTGATGTGAAACGACTCCTCGTCGCCAAACGTCATAGATCTCGCCTTTTCCTTGCTTCTCCCCTTACAAGACGCTCCCAAAATCTTAAATTTAGGGATAGGGTTTGAGAGAGAGGAAGAGGGGCTTCTAGGGTTTGAAACTCTGATGAAAAGATGATAATTTTTGTGAAAACACATGTATGTATGTATGTATGTATATATATATATATATATATATATAAAACTCGTTTGACCCGAACCAGGAAACCTAGTCTAACTAGGAAAATAATCTTCTGTATTTTGGCTGTAACTTTCTCATCCGACCTCGGAATAAGGTGAGTTAAGATTTGTTGGAAAGATATTGAAGAGACCTACAACGTTTGTATTTTGATATTTTCTAGATTAAATTTGTATCAGTGTGTAAAATATATAAACTCTTAACTGGTAGTTTTTCCAGATTTCTCTTCATGCATGTTTTGTGTATTTGCACTCATATATTCATAAATATACATTGAATTGATCTCAAATCAATTCCTATCATACTCAAACATCAAAATATATTATATTTTCACTATATAACATATATGCATATCAATTAATCACCTTTTCACCATATTCACAAATATATTATATTTTCACCATATTAAAAAATAATCACTTTTTCATAATATATCAATTATTATAAATCAGCATATATGCATGTTTTGTGCATTTGCACTACACGCTTGTGAATCAAACCCACGCGTAAAAGACATGAAACCACGTGCAAAGGAATAAATACATCACAAACAAAAAAGTTTCAGTCGACTGCCCTTAGGGCATGAGTCGACCGACAATAACTGTGCACAGAGTGCACTGGAAGATAGTCTCCATCAGTCGGCTGGTCTTCACCAACCGGTCGACCGATCTACAAATTTATAGGTTCTGCATTTATTCTCAGTTTCTGTGTTTTGTAATTTTGTTCAAAATCCTTTCTTCTATTAACATAATGCGTAGAACAAGATTCAAACTTTCGTAACTAATTAACAATGGTTAACTTAACATGCTACAACCTCTTGAATTAAACTAATTAGGGTTTAACATCCTATTTAACCCAAAATTTCCCAATTAAAGAATATATTACCAACATGATTAGCAAAAGTATATTTAATCTAATCATGAACAATCATAAATTTATTTAAACAAGATCGCATCCCTAGTTATCACATACTTAGGGTTTAAACACTTTTATTAACTAAAACCTCATTTAAAATGATTAAACTAGGGTTTTAAACCATGTTAAAACATAATTAACAAATTAAAAACAACCCCTAATGATCATGATTATCAAAACTATTAAAACAGCGATTAAAACTACAGATCTCTACATTGATTTAAGATTTAAACATAAAAAAAACTAGATTTTTATCACATCAGATTAATCTATACTACTTATAAAAGAGAATACTCATGTTAAAACTTTTGGTTTCCCTTTTTACCCTCTTAATTTTTTATCTCTCACAATTATACCAATATTTATAAAACTAATGGTCCATAACCTCTCATTAACTATGCACCTCTTCATTTTCTCAAATTATTTGGTCATTCATTAGAATATATTAATAATTTAGAATGATAATAAAATTCGTAAATATATGATAATTTATTATAAATAATTAGTAATTATATAAAATAGTAAAAGGAATTCATTTAATAAATTAGTTCACATAATATAATTATTAATAATATTATAAATAGGAGTTATTTCTTTATGTTGCAAAGAATATTACCTTGTTCTTAATATCATCTTAGTAATAAAAATTTGGATGTTATAAATTAAAAATATTTTTATTTTGTAAAATTAATTTATATATTATTAAGATCCATGAAATTTATGAGACATATACTTTTCTCTTCTTTTCCCCAAAATATTTGGTCACTCGCTAGAACATATTAATAATTTATAATGATAATAAAGTTAATAAATATATTATAATTCATTATAAAATAATTATTAATTGAAATGAATTAGTAAAATTATTTATTTAATAAAATATTGTACATATTTATAGTTATTAATAATATCATAAATAGGGGTTGTTTCTTTATATTGTAAGGAATATCACCCTTTTCAATATTATAATATCATCTTATCTTAGTAATAAAAATTAGACATTATGAATTTAAAATATTTTTATTTTGAAAAGTTACTTTATATAAAAATATTGGATTTTTGAAATCTACGAGTCATTCACTTTTTGTTGGAAAGTAAATATCTCATAAACTTTAAAGATCCAATACTTTTATATAAAGTACTTTTCCTAAGTAATAGTATTTTTAATTTATGTCATACAAATTTTTATTACTAACATGATATTAATTATCGAGCAAGGTAATATTCTTTACAACATAAAGTCATATAATATTAAAAACTATCGTCATTATTTAATAAATATTGTAATAAAATAAGTCTGTAACATAATTATTTAATAATATAAAGGGTTTAATTATATCAATAGTGTTACTTAAACTAATGATTATATTATTATTTAATAATTATACTCCTAAATAAATTGTTTAATAATATAGTAATAAGCTAATTTAAATAACTATTAAATGTATGTTAATAATAGTATAAGTATTGATTATAGTATAACTTTTTTTAATCATAGTGCAATTAAATAACTTTGTAAAATGTTTATGTATAATTTATTAAATAATCTATGCTACATATAAAAGAGGATTCAAGTGTTAAAACTTTTGAATTCCTTTTTTGCCTCTCTGATTTTGATATTTTCCAATCTTATCTTTAATTAATTGCACAAAAAGTCTCAATCCTCATTCAATACATATAAATAACATGCTCAATATAATAAATAAAAATATTATAGTAAATGTAGGACATATGGATAATTGATATGATACATATGTCAAATTAATAATACTACATGTTTCAATTGCAAATAATGTGTCAACTTAAAATGCCATTAGTGCATGCATTATGCATACTTGAATCATGAGTTACATTTAAATTGTAGTCTTTATTTTAGGAGCAGCTAGTGTTATACCCGCGCCATGCTGCAGAAATATTTAAAAAATTAGTCTACTTCCATATTTTTTGAGTTGGATAGACTTTACTTTATTTGCTCTAAATGCTCGAGCAATATGTGAAAAATTAAAGATGCTAAAAAAATAAAAATAATTGAAACATAATTGGACATATCTAAATAAATCCCACAAAGTTATCATTCTCCCTTTAAAAGAGGGAGTACTAGAAAAACTTTCTTTACCCCAAAATACCCTTCTTCTTTCATTAATTTAACAAAGTTATCCTTTCTTTATTTAATTTATTAAGAAGAATGATTCATGAAGAAATATGTATTTAATTATTAAATTAATTGTACACAATTGTTAGTTATAGGGTGGATTAAATGTGACCATTTATCTTCTCTTATATATACTAATGTACCATCTTTTCTTATTAAATTGCCCGGTTGCAATCATAATTAGAGATTAATGTTAAAATAGAAGGTTAACTGTTCATAAAAGAGGGAGTACTAGAAAAACTTTCTCTACCCCAAAATACCCTTCATCTTTCATTAATTTAACAAAGTTATCCTTTCTTTATTTAATTTTATTAAGAAGAATGATTCATGAAGAAATATGTATTTAATTATTAAATTAATTGTACACAATTGTTGGTTATAGGGTGGATTAAATGTGACCATTTATCTTCTCTTATATATACTAATGTACCATCTTTTCTTATTAAATTGCCCGGTTGTAATCATAATTAGATTATCTTCTCTTATATATACTAATGTACCATCTTTTCTTATTAAATTGCCCGGTTGTAATCATAATTAGGGATTAATGTTAAAATAGAAGGTTGACTGTTCATAATAGCTAGCAATCAGTTCTTTCACTGCACATAGCTCCCCCTCTCATTTTTTTGTCACCGCTTCAAATTCTTTTTCCGCAACGAGCTTTCCTTTCTTTCTTCTTTTTTTTATTTATTCCGCCGCTTTAATTCCTCTTCCAAATAAAAATCATTTCTAACCTTACAACTTCTGTTCAAAATATTAACATAAATCTCATTTCCTTTTTCTATAATAAAACTATGTTCGAAGCCATTGTAGACAGTCATATTTCTTGAGAAGAAGCACCCCGACATCAACCCGATTTGAAAGCTGTGATAAGGTAATTGACCACCTCCTATTTCATTTGATCTTAAATTTTTTGTTGTTCATTAGATATGTTTTGATTCAATTGTAATAATTTAGTTTTCTTAAACTCTTTAAGTTTTGATTACTCATAATTTGATTTGTATGATGATTGAAATTTTAATGTGAATCCAACATTTTTACTTAATTGAGATTCTCTATTGTTTGATGCATGCTTCCGACTTTCTCTCTCAAAGAGCATTCAAAAGGTGAGTTCTGTTTCGCTCCTTCCCTTTCCATTCCTCTTCTTGCTAAAATTCTTTTTGCTATAGTTTCATTGTTGACTGCGATTCATTTCTTGATTGTAGCAAGCGTTGAACCTATGCTGAAGTTGCTTTACACGGGTGGAAATAACACCTCTAGACCAAGTATAACACAAGATTACATTGAAAAAGCTGTCATCTTGTCATGATTCAATTGATTTGTAGTGCCTACAGTGGAGTGAGGTTTTGATTTTTTGCCTAATATATTTTCTTTCTTCACTTTTTAGGTGAAATGAAGATTTTTTTTTCATGGAGTATAAATGTATTATTATTGGTTTCAAGTTTATTATATGAACGCCAAGGGGAGAAATGTTCAGGGATCTATGTTTTTACTCAAGTATAAATGTACTATTGTTGGCTTTCAAGTGTATTATTTGGCTTTCAAGGTGGATTTTTTTTCCCTGTTATGTTTCTTGGTAATGTGATAGTACTTTAATTGACTAGAACATATTTGTACATTTATTGAACATTATTGATATTTCCTATAAATAGGGTCACAGTAGGGATTCAAGTGGCAATACTTATGTTTGGGAGAGACTATGGTTAACATTGCTGGCTGAAATGGATGGCCTAGAGCTGGCAAAGTAAACCTCATCTCATTTATTTTCTTAATTAGGGAGCAATAAAATTGTTAATTATGAACTGTCTTTGACCAATTTTGTTCTAAAGATCCCGTTGATATGTAGGGAATTATTGTATTGGTTGTTGCACATCATCCACAGGCATTCAAGCGTCTTAGACACTTTCATTTGGTATGTATTCATCTTACATGGTCACATGCTAATAGTTGAATTAATGTTAACTAAAAGTATGACTTATGCAATTTAGCCTTTTAGTTCAAAAGTTTCAAAATGTTCTTGGTTTATTTGCTTTCATCAAAGTAGGATCAAATTTTTTAACAGGTGCCTATAGGCACTCATTAGGTAACGAGAGAGATAGAAAAAAGAATAGCAAGTGAGTCTCCCCTTGATTTCCTCTAATTTCTCTCATTACCTCCTCTCTCTCTCTCTCTCTCTCTCTCATGGTTCTTTATGAATATGCCCCCTATTTACAACACAATAAAGTGTGCACTCCATCCATTTAATTTCCTAAAATCAATTATCTCTTTCCAAATTTGAAAGTGTTACTTGTAGATATACACCATATATTATCAGTAAATTGCGGATGGACCCCTTGTAGACTATTGTTGTAGTAGGAATTCTAGCGATACTCGTGCAATGTGAGTGTTGCTATCACTTGCATCATTAGGTCGTCACGTGTGGTAAAACCCAACCTAACCCTATTAGAAAACTAAACCCCACCCCACCTTTTTACTTTAGGGTGAATGTCCGAAGACAATCCATAAAGGCGAATGTCCTTAGACTTTTTTTCTGCAAGTTGACCTTCTAATGAAAACTAATTTTGACTCTTTTACCTTCAAAAACAAGCATTTTTTTATTTTTTATTTTTCTTTGGATAATTAGATATTTAGATGGTAAAAGAGTCAAAAATTTACTATAGGAGATTTATTTGCGATTAGACAATAGTACAAGGGATCTAACTACAATTAAATCAATTAAAACATTAGCATGCTTAATCTATAAAATTATTGATGTCTAGACTATACAAATAATTTGTATTTTCAACAAAAAACCTATGATGATATACATTTTCTTCATTATGTCTTAGGTGTTGTACATTGCCACCACCAAACAAAGAAGAACGTTGTGAAATTCTATCCACACAAAAAAAATAAGTTTGAGGGAAGATGTGGAGCTTATGCAAGTAGCAAAGTGCATCGAACTCTTCACAGGTGTAGATCGATAAGGTTTATGTACTAAAGCAGACATGCTTGCTCTCAGAGAAGAGATAACTTCAGGTATTATCTTTGATCGTCACTTTCAAGCTGCTCAAGATTCATTGAGACTCTCATTAACAAATTCTCAAATAGATAAATACTCCTCGAAAATGTTCCATCGATGAGATCATCATTAGGATATAGAATTGGATTCATCAGATATTGTTGGACCCTAGAGGGGGGGTGATTAGGGTCTTATGCTAATCTAATCCGATTTTATGCCAATTAA